TCCATTACTTTTTCTGGAGGTTTCTGATGATCTTAGTTATTTATTTATTTATTTATTTATTGAACATGTTTATACAAGTTAATATATCAGGAAGGCGTAATAGCCTGTTTTACATATATGGTACTGTTTTGTGATACAAAAATACAGTATAAAAATCAACAAATTACTTACTAATAAAGTTAAAAATAGACTTAATTACAAAAATGAATAAAAATCTTAATCAAAAACACAGAATTCATACGATTTTGTTAAAATACATCGAAAAAGTTAAAATTACAAGCTTATGTCTAATATAGTTTGTAAAAGTTGTGAGCAGTCGTCGCGAAATTAATATTGTATGAAAATCCTTTGGAAACGTTTTATTGCCCACTAAATAACTTCGATGTTGAATGGCAAGTTCATTTGTGTAAATATATAGAGCTATTTTATGTGGTGAAATTTGATAAAACCACTCATAAATATACTTTAAAAATTGAATTTCTCATGATTTTTAAGGTTGATCAATAGGTTATATAAACTTCCAAACAGACACAGATTGAAACTAATATATTTTTTGATGATTTGAATCTTTACTATAAAATTTACCAGCAAAGAATAAAAAAGAAGATAATATTTTATAAACATAAAACATAAAATTTGGTTGCTTTTATCTACCTACACTAAACATGTAAATAAAATAAAATGTCACTTTACTATGGTTAAAATCCCCCTCACCCTCCCCAAGAAATTTGGTTTCCTGATCTACTGACACTAAACATGGAATATAAATCTAATAAATGATTAAAAAAAAAAAAAAAAATAGGATAAAAAACTATCCTCCCACCCCCTCCCCAACACCATTCAGGGCTGGGATTTCAAATTTATAATAAATATTTGGAATAGTTGCAATGTCAGATAGTGAAAGTGCATCTGTTGATATTTGCCTATTCTCGTTCTTATTTTTACTTAAAAAGCAAACAATTTCAAATATTGACCTTTTTTTAAAAATACAGTTCTAGTTTATTATCTTTATAAAAACAGTGTAACTTAATGTAGATCAGGAAGGAATTATTCTGTGTATTATAAAAATCCTCAGGAAATTAATAAGTAAGGACTTATATGTGACTGGAATGTTAAATCTTGTAATTTGTACTTGTTTTTTTCTCCATTTTGCTTCCAGTTCTTGTGTAATGTACAGCCTAATGTTGTGCCATTCATCAATTCTTGTGACATTTGGTGCTTTTATCATTAATTACTCGGACAGTTTGTGTTTGCTGAGTATCAAGGATAGTTGTAATGTATTTCATTTAGCCGTTAATTACTATCTTTCTTTCAGACAAGCATCATCAATTCTATTTTTGAAGTGTAAAATCGGATTGTTTAAGAAAAAATACACAATTTAATAACATTAAAATTTTCTATCAGGCAGTCAGTCCATTGTAACAAAAGAGTGAAGCTGTAGCTTGTTGGTTGTTTTTCATTCCCAGGGTAGCCTACTATTTTCATATCCTGTGAAATACCAGGTTTTTATTAAAAGCATGACTGAATACAATACTGTACTACTACCTAACTGGCATTGGAATAATTTTGACCAAGAGGAAGGTTTCACCATGGCTAAATTGTCCAAACTGTTGTAATTAGATTTGAATTTGGCTTTCCTAAGACACTGGCTAATCGCAATTCATAATAGTTTAAAACGATCAGAGTGCACATTCAGAGTTAAGTCAAAATGTGCAATGAAGTTTCTGCTAATGATTAGGCTAAGAACTCCTTACTTACACCCATAACCCATGAAAATTAC